CCAGTTGAGAACCACTCCTCTAATAAAAAAATTCTATGAGGCAGGGATTTATTCGTCCATTAGGCCTTCAGAATGCAGCTCAGAGTGGTCAAGTAACTTGCTCAGGGTCATTTTGCTGAGCTGTAGATAGGAGAGCTGGACCTGAGTCCTTGTCTCTGCCTCCAAGGTATGTGGGGGCTCTCCATTCTTGGCCCCAGCCACCTGCTGGTCACTGACAGTATTTACTCAGTCATTCAGCAAATATTTACCAGGTACCTGCTGTGTACCAGGCAGTGTTCCAGTTACTCAGTCAATGCCACTCATACTCAGTTTGGAGGAAAGAGCTGTACAAAATAGACAAATGTATTAGTTTCCTATTGCTGCTGTAACAAATTGCTGCAAACTTACTGATGTAACACAACACAGATTTACTATCTTATAGTTCTAGAGGTCAGAAGCCCACAGTCAGTTTCACTAACTAACATCAAGGTTCTGGCAGGCCTGTGTTCCTTCGGGAAGCTCTAGGGCAGAATCCCTTCCTTTGCTTTCCCTGTCTTCTAGAGGCTGCATACATTCCTGGGCTCATGACGCCCTCCTCTGAAAATACCAGCGGTGCAGCATCTTCCCTCCTCTCGACCTCTGCTTCCATCCTCACATCTTCTCTCCTCTCGGACCTCTGCTTCCATCCTCACATCTTCTCTTTCTGACTCTGATTCTCCTATCTCCCTGTCAGCAGACGTGATTACAATGAGCACACTGGACAATCCAAGATAATCCAGTTCAAGATTTGTACTTTAATCACCTACAAAGCTGTTTTGCCATGTAAGGTAACATATTCAAGATTCCAGGGATTAGGACATGGACATCTTTGGGGAGCCATTATTCAGCCTACTATAGTCCACCCTCTGCCCCCCAAAGATTCACATCCATTCCACATGCAAAACACATTGACCTCCATCTCAAAATCCCCCTAAATCTCAATCTATGACAGCATTAACTCAAGTCCACTATTTTCTCTGAGTCTCATCAGCTCAAAAGTCCCCAATTTCATCATCTAAGCTAGGAATGTGTGAACCTGCAGGTATGACCTATCTTTGGGGAAATCCACTCTATGGATCTGTGAAACTAGGACACAAGTTATCTGCTCCCACAATGCAATGGCAGGTCAGGCATAGGATAACAGTTATAGATATTCCCACCCAAAAAGGGAGAAAATGAAAGGAAAAAAGGAGTCACCGAACCCAATTAATTCCAAAATCCAACTGGGCAAATTCCATTACTTTTCAAGGCCTGAGGATAATCCTTTGTGGCATAGGGCTCTTCCTGCAGCTTGGCCCTCAGTCATCCTTCCTTTTTTCGTGAAGGGTAGTACATGTTTGCAGCTGAGAAGTCTTAGCAGCCTGTCCTGCCTGGAGAATTTTGGGAGTCTGACAACTTTCTTTAATTTGCCCTTTCTCTTTTCCTTTCAGTTCAAGCTGGCAACGTTCCTGCTGCTGTAACATTCTCAAAAACTTTCTAGTTCTCCTGTGTATGTCTCTGGGTGTCACTGCATTAGACTGGAGACTCTTTCGCAGATCATTCCTAGGTGATCCTTTCTCCATTCCCTTCTCTATCCCTTCTCTATATCCTCCTAGGATACCTAAGGAGATCTTGAAGTCACACATCTAATATTTAATCTCTGTGTGACTTGGTTGGCCTTGCTTTTCTCTCCACAGCACTTTTTCCTGACCATGACTAGATATCCTGAGAATTTCCCAAATCATCAAGTTTTCTTTTGCTTCACTGTTTTTCCCTCAACCTGGCTGTGCCCTCTCACATTTTCCTATAAGCAGCAAAAAAGAAACCAAGCTACACCCTCAACCTTATGCTTGGAAATCTTCTCAGCTAAGTATGCAAGTTTATTGCTTAGTTCTGCTTCCTACATAACTCTAGGACACAATTCAGCTGAGTTTCTGCCACTATAGAGCAAGAATTTCCTTTCCTCCAGTTTCTGGTAACGTAGTCCTCATTTCCTTCTGAGCTCTCACCAGCAGGCCCTTTAGCATCTGTATTTCTTCCAACAGTTTGTTTATGACAATGCAGGTATTCTCTGAGACACTAAAGGTTTTCTCTGCCGTGCTCCTCCCTCCTCCTGAGCCTTCACCGGCAGAGTCACACATTCACAAGCTCCAGGATCAGGATGTCGACATCTCAGGGGAGCCATTTTCCAGCCTCCACGGCAACTTTAGGTTTACTAGTCAGCCATCAAACCTTTATGATCCCCTCTCATTTTGTTAGTACTATGTTAGATACTATCTTGGTTATCTAGTGCTGCTGTAACAGAAAATACCACAAGGGGAGGACTTTAACAAACAGGGCTTTATTCTCTTACAGTTTAGGAGGCTAAAGTCCAAGTTCACAGTGCTGGTTCTAGGGGCTGAGTGAAGGCCCCTCAACCCTGGGCTTCAGCTCTGCCTCTTGCTCCCGGCCCACTGGAGCTGAAGGTTTCTCTTAACTTAAACAGTTGCTGGCTGCTGAAGCTGACAAACCCAAGGTTGACAATTAAATGACACAGTCCCAATTATCAAGCAACATGGAAGGCCACTAGTTCAAGTCCACAAACAGTCTCAAGATTGGCAGACAACATTGCAGGCCACTGAGTTGAAGACTCAGCCAAATGCAGGATCCAGATGTGCCAAAAAGCTCAAGAGACCGCTCTCAAAGCATCTTATATACTGGAAGCAGTCCACGTCCCTAAGGCAGCTAGTCACACTAGATTCTACCATGGAGTTGATTACTAGTCTCATCATGGAGAATAACTACATCCAGCTGCCCAGCCACTCAAAACCAGGCCCAGCCAAGTTGACACACAGCCTTAACCACCAAAGATACTATGAGGGCTGCAGAGCTAGGCTGATTCAGCAGCCTGGTTTTCTCACATAATTCCAGTTTATACTTTTTCTCTCTGTGTAAATATAGTAGTGCCTTTTTCCCTTTCAAGAGTGCCCTGGTCTGGGTGATATATTTTCTGGTCACTCTGAATATAGATCTTAATGCTTGGCCTTAACAAATCTACAAAATCTACAATCTCATGGAGATAAAAGCTACATATATGAAAAATTATCAAGCAGTTATAAATTGAGGTATGGCATTTAGATGCTAGATATCATGCTTGATAAAGTAGAGGGTTAGTGTTCTGGTTACCTAGTGCTGCTCTGACAAGAATATACCAAAAATGAGATGGCTTGAACAAACAGGAGTTTATTCCCTTACAGTTTGGGAGGGTAGAAGTCCAAGTTCAAAGTACCAGGCTCTATAGGCTTGATGGAAGCCCCTCAACCTTGGACTTCAGCTTGGCCTCCTGCTCCTGGCCCACTGGAACTAGAGGCTTTTTTTCACTTAGACAGCTGCTGGCTGGTGAGACTGACAAGCCCAAGGTTGACAAGTAAAAAGACACAGTCCTGATGTCACCAAACCACAAAGCAGGCCACTAATTCAAGTCCGTTGAAAATCCCAAGGTTGGCAGAGCATGGCAGGCTGCTGAACAATGGCATAACTACATGCAGGGTTCAAGTGTGCCATAAACTAGAGAGCCGTTCCAAGGCTTCTCATTATATACAGGAAGCAGACCACATCCCTAAAGCAGCTACTCAGCTGCTTGTAGGTCCCACCATGGAGCTGATTGCCAGTCTCATCATGGGAAATAACTACCACCAGCTGCCCAGCCACTCAACCAGGCCCAACCAAGTTGACAACAACCTTAACTACCACAGTCTGCAAAAGAGCGAGAGACCCTCAGTGAGATGGGTTGATGCAATGGCTGCAACGATGAGTTTGAACCCACAGCAAGGACTGTGAGAGTAGTGCAGGACTAGGCACCGTTTTGTTCTTTTGTATGTAGGGTCGCTATGAGTTGGGGCTACTGAATGGCACCTTGTGGTGGTTATGTGTGTGTGTCAACTTGGCTGGGCCTGGTTGAGTGGCTGGGCAGCTGGTGGTAGTTAATCCCCATGATGAGACTGGCAATTAACTCCATGGTAGGATCTACCACAAGCAGCTGAGTAGCTGCCTTTGGGAATGTGGTCTGCTTCCTTCATTTAAGGAGAAGCATTAGCAATGGTCTCTAGCCTTTGGCACATTTGGACCCTCCATGTAGCCATGTCATTGCTCAGCAGCCTGCTATGCTTTGCTGACCTTGGGACTTACAGTGGACTTAAGTTAATGGCCTGCCGTGTGGATTGGTAACATCGGGACTGTGCCTTTTTACTTGTCAACCTTTAGGCTTCTGAGCCTTAGCAGCTGTCTGAGTGAAGAAATGCCTCTAACTCTAGTGGGCAGGAGGCAGAGCTGGACCCCGGGTTGAGGGGCTTTTACCCAGCCTCTAGAGCCTGGCACTTTGAACTTAGACTTAAAGCCTCCAAATTGTAAGAATAAACCCCTATTTGTTAAGGCCATCCCATTTGTGGTATATTTCTTGTCAGAACGGCACTAGGGAACCAGAAGACACCTAATAACAACTAACATCCTACAATGCACAGGACTTCCCCCCCCCCCCAACTATCTGTTGAAATTTTGCCATCTAGAATCTCTAGGTCATTTGGAAGCCGTTGGCATTTCATATTCAAGGTATATGGTCCCTGGACCAGCAGCATCACTTTGTCAGAAATTTAAATTATTGGGCCTCATCCCAGACCTTCTGAATCAGAAACTCTGTGGGTGGGGCCCATCTATTTCAACAAGCCTTAGAACTGTATCATTTGTTACACACAGGCACACATATAGACACACACTCTTAGTGACATCCGAGGTACATGAACACCAGAATCAATACTATAAATACTGCTCTGTCCACAAAGGCTCTCATTTGTCCCTGCCCTTTGTTTCCCCAGCTTCAAAACAATGACACACATGGGTTGAGACGATACTGGTAAATGTTAGTTTGGTGTGGGAAGAATTCTTTGGTTCGAATTATCTATTTTCAAATGAGTTTTTTCTGAAAGTACCATATTACATTTTTTACCTCTCTGCTTGGCTTTTGGCAGGAGCTGACAAAAAGCCTGGAGCTAAGTGTAAATCTACAAAGGGAACAAAAGAATGGTTCCAGTGACGAGTGTGACTCCATCGAAGAAGACGTGCTCTCTGATCCTGAACCTGAGGGCCAGGTGCTGGTGGACCGTCCTAGAGATGACCCTCTTCTTTCAAGTGGGGACTCAGTGCAGAAGGACCTTCCCACAGACCAGGAGACAGAAGGACACCTTCCCCAGGGCCCAGACCCTCTGGTGGTGCTGGGTTTTAACACAGCTTCCAAAAGTGAGCTCCATGTTATGTGATACTTTTTTACCTTCGAAGTCTCTGGATCTACCAGTAGCATTGCTGTGAGATCAGCTCTGGGGAGAGCAGGCTCCTAAGCCAGGGAGCTGTACTGATCAGGTGTCTGTTGATTGCAAAAGGCAGAAACCTAATGCAAACTGGCTTCAGCAAATGGCCTAGTTACTGGCTCAGATGATTGAAGAGCCCAGGGCTCTAGCTCTTACTTCAGGCCCAGCTCCAGAGTCCATAGTTTCTAGGGATTAGGACGTGGACATCTTTGGGGAAATATAGACCAGATTCTGTCCTCAGGGCTCCTGCCTACCCAGCATCCTTCTCTCCTCCTTCAGATAACCACGCCTTGATTTCCCTTTGGAAACTGCATTTGCTGTGTTGTCAGTCCATGTGCTTTGGCTTTTGGCTGGGCCAGCATAGTAGGTAAGGCATTTTGGTTGCTAACCAGAAGGTTGACAGTTCAAACCCACCTGCTGGTCTGTGGAAGGAAGATGAGGCAGTCTACTTCCGTAAAGATTTATAGCCTTGGAAACCTAATAGGAGTTACTATGAGTTATAATCGACTCAGTGGCAGTGGCTTTGGTTTTTGGTTTTTGGTGATTATTCGGTGCCAGCCCATGACCCAGTCTGTATTCAAATGTCAGACCTGGGACATTTAGGAAGGAAATATTTCGCCATGGAGTTACCCTTCTCTCCTTTGCCTCTCCTCTTTCCTTTTTTTTTTTTTTGTGCCATTCTTAGGTAGCTCTTTCACATACAGAGAAGAATTGCCTTCATCTGAGCCACCAGTGGGAAATTGTTCTATTTTTTCCATGGGAGATGTACTGGGAATGCATTGCTTCAGTGGATTATGTTTTCTGTGAGGGGTGGGGGCAGGAGTGAGGGCTGTGAGGAGGTTGACTGAACCTCCACCCAGGGAATAGCAGATACAACTGGCATTTCCAGGTACGAAGGACCAGACCACAGAAGGAGGGTGATTTGACGCAAGATTCAGTTTGAGACAATATCAGGGCATAAAGTGAAAAGAGAAAACTTCAGTTTCTTAACATTTCACATTTTCTAGCAATTAGCCTGCTGGTGGGCCCCACTGTGGTGATGTCTGCCTCAGGCAGGGGCTGTCAGGCTTGTGAGCACACAGAGGTGCCTTGGGCATGCCTCCTGCCAGGGCCCTGCTGCTCTGTTCCCTTTGATCTGCAGCAAGAGGAAGGCTCCCACCAAGGGGAGCATGTGGGAGGCCCAGGGGGCTGTTGTAAGGTCTCTCCAGACCCCAGCATGGCACTGAGTTCTGAACTAATCCTGAGCATGACTCAAGAGAAGTCAGCAGTCACCTGAAAAGATGTATTTGGTTCTGTGATGTTTGTTTAGTCATTCATTGGGCACATAGCATGGCCCAGGCATTGTGCTAGCAGAGGGGATTAGAGAGGAACAAGACAGGCCCAGTCCCTTCCGCTGTGGCACTCACATTCCAGCAGGGAAAATGGGCCATGAGCAAGTACACATATATGTAAAACAATGGCCAGTGTTGATTGAGTTTTTATTGACATGTACCAAGCACTATTCTAAGGACTTTACACATAGCCCCTCTTCTAATCTTCACCTCAACCCCAAGGGAAGTATTGTCATTGCCTTAATTTTACAGATGGGGAAACAGGCACAGAGAGATCAAGTAACTTGTCCAAGGTCACACAACTAGGAAGGGGCAGAGACTGAAATCCTGGGAATCGGAGCCCAGAACAGCTGTTAATTACCGAGCCAAGTACATAAACTAGACAAAGGTTGAAAGCAGTAGTTGGACTTTGGGGAGTCAGAAAATAACCTTCCTTTGGTAGATAAGGTGTTTGTCAACTTGGCTGGGCCTGGTTGAGTGGCTGGGCAGCTGGATGTAGTTATTCCCCATGATGAGACTGGCAATCAGCTCCATGGTGGAATCTACTGAAGCAGCTGAGTAGCTGCCTTAGGGATGTGGTCTGCTTCCACTTTATAAGAAGCCAGCTTTGAGAAAGGTCTCTGAGCTTTTTGGCATACTTGGACGCTGTATGTTAGGAGCTCTGGTTGCATAATGCCTAAGGCACTTGACTGCTAACCACAAGGCTGGTGGTTCAAACCCACCAGCCACTCCTTGGAAGAAAGGTTGGGCAATCTACTTCTGTAGTGATATCGCCTGGGAAACTCAGGGAGGGGTCACTCTGAGTTGGATCCGACTCGACGGCAGTGCGTTTGGTTTGGTTTTGGTTTGGCCCTCGTGCAGCAGCCTGCCCTGTTGTCTGCTCATCTTGGGATTGTTCCTGGACTTGAACCAGTGGCCTGCTGTGTTGTGTGCTCATCTTGGCGCTGTGCCATTTTACTCGTGGTCCTTGGGTTTGTCAGCCTCAGCACCCAGCAGCTTTCTGACTTTAGAGATGCCTCCAGCTCCAGTGGGCCGGGAGCAAGAGGCAGAACTGAAGCCCAAGATCAAGAGGCCTTCACCCAGCTCCTAGAGCTAGCATTTTGAATTCAGACTTCTAGCCTCCTAAACTGTAAGAGAAAAAACTCCTGTTTGTTCAAGCCACCTGCTTGTGGTGTGGTAGCACCAGAGAACCCAAACACCTCCCCTCCTAAGTTGTGAAATAAATGAGAGATGAGTGTGTGTCTCTGATAGAAGGAGAGCAAATGACCATCTTCGCATCCATGAAGAGCTGGGTTGGTGGCCCTCCAGCACTGCCTCTCTGAAGTAGACAACACCCCAGATTTGGGCAGAACTGGTCCCCATACTGGTAGCATGGTGGCAAGGGCTGTGTGCTCCGAGGACAACCCAGCCTGGGCTGAGCCTTAATGACTTCCTACCCCCTACTCTCTCCAATCCAGTGTGTCCTCCTTGTGAGCAAGGGGCACAGAGAAAGGCAGAAGTCATTTTTCCAGGCACAAGGAAGAGAAGGGTCAGGGAAGAGGAGAGACTGGCACCCTCTGAAGAGCTGCAAAGATTATGAAACAGAGCTCTCAATGCAGGTGGAGACTGGGCTTGGAGCCACTTTGTCTGGAGTGGTCAGAGAAGCCTTCTTAGAGGAGGTAATATGTGAGCTGGGGCAGGTATGATGAGCAGAAACCAGCCATGGGAACAGCATTCCAGGCAGAGGGAACAGCAAGCACATGGGGCTTGAAGAAAGAGCTTGGGATGTCCAAGGACAGAAAAAGGGCCAGTGGGACTGGAGTTGAGTGAGCAAGGGGTGTGTGGTCTAAGATGTGGTTAGTGGTGATCCCAGGCTACTTTCCATGCAGATCCAAGAGTTCTGGGGTTATAGTGCCTTATAAAATATCCTATATAGACTTCAAAAAATGTTTATGTGTTTTGTTGTTGTTGAGAATATACACAGCAAAACGTACACCAGTTCAACAGTTTTCTACATGTACCTCATACAGACTTTTGATGGCCTCCTAAACTGTAAGAGAATAAATTCATGTTTGTTAAAGCCATTCATTTGTGATATGTCTGTTAGAGTGGCACTAGAGGACCAAAACACGGTGTTTTGCAGATTCTACATTATTCTTTAGGCTTGCATAGTATTCCATTGTGTATAGGTACCACAGTTTAGTTATCCATTCCTGGGTTGATGGGCGCTTAGGTTGTTTCTCTTTGCTATTGTGAATAGTGCTGCAATGAACATGGATGTGCATATATTTATTTGTGTCTTGGCTCTCACTTCCTTGGTATATATACCTAGAAATGGGATTGCTGGATCAAATGATATTTCTGTTTCCAACTTTTTAAGGAATCACCATACCAATTTCCACAGTGGTTGTATCATTTCACAGTCCCACCAGCAGTGTATGAAAGTCCCAGTGTCTCCACATCCTTGCTAGCATTTTCTTCTGTCTTTTGAACTTTGCTATTGATGCTGGGGTGAGATGGTATCTCATTGTTGTTTTGATTTGCATCTCTCTAATTAATGACTAATGAGCT